TTTCTTCTAATTCCACATCTGCTAACCAATCACAAGAGCAGTGAGGGCCAACATTTCTGATACATTTCCTGCAATATTGTTAACAGTTTCCTAGCAACCTCTGTAATAGACGTGAAGCTTTGCTGTCAGTGAGTTTAAAAACTCAAGAGAGAAATGTGTGTGTTTTGGCTTCCTGTTCATGTATCCACTTAAAATGGAGAAAGCAACTATTATGTGGGGTTCTCTCTAATAATGTCACCTTAGCCACTGCGCTATGTAGCATAATTATGAGTCTGCAGAGCCCCTGCCATTTCAAGTCCCAGAAAAGCATAGGATTAGAGCATCCCACTCATAGTCGAAGGAATAGTAAACCGTTCGTGTTTCTTCCTAAACTCTCCAGGGTTGAGTATGGGAATTGAAGATCTACTCTTAGAATGTGTGAGTATTAGTCTTAGGCAGAGCTGAGCCAAAATTTCATTGAAGCAATTTTCTGATAACGTATGGCCTCATGTTGTAATGTGTCTACACCAGACATTTCATATCCATTGGGTATTTATGTTCTGCTTTACATATTTGTCATTCTCACTGGGTACAATTTTTGACAGCATTATTTGAATATACAATGACTTCCAGTATTTTCACTGCTATTAGCAAACAGGGATGGGTGAAATTTGGAACATTGACCTCATGTAGCCCACACGGACTCTTTCTGTCCCCCAGTGACTCAATGGATACAGCAAAAATAGTGTTTTCAAACAATATGCTTCCCTTCAAATTCCTTCAAAAGTCTTCAAGGGGACATCAGTGGCATTTTGCTTTATTTTTGGTTCTTCATGCCATTGTGAGCCAAGGAACTCCCCTCCCCCTCACACACACACACACAGTTTTTAAGTGAACAACATTGCTAGGGAAGGATTAAAACATGGGGAAATGCTATGACTTCTAAGGATTTTGCTGACAAAAGAAATGTTTTATCCTTTCTTGAATGGAAGGTACAAGAGTGTATCATTATTTAGGTATGTTTGAACAGAACTTCAAACCTCAGTTTTTCATTACTTACTGTGACATGAAAACTTCCTAACTCAGTTTAGGTAGCATAGACTGAGAACCCAAATCATGAATCCGTCAACTTCAATTTCTTTCATACCCCCTCTTTTCACATTCAGTTGACCTCAAACATTAATGTGTCTTTAAAGTTGGCATAAAAATTAATATTCATTCTTCTCAATTTCTCTTCATGTATTTTGGTATGCATTTTTGCTACCTTGTTTTTACGATTGATGCTGCCTATCCAAGGATTCTGCATTGATTGATTCAACAATCCATGGCTTGAATTATTTTTAAAAAAATGAAATAGGAAAACTTGTTTTTTTACCATTTTATGTGAGGGACACCATTTTACTATGTCATTATATATAATTAAATCTTGGCATCTATAGATTTTGGTATCCACAGATGCGTGTGAGTCCTGGAACCAAATCTCAGTGGATATTCTTGACCTACTATTATATGTATCCACAGATGTGTGTGAGTCCTGGAACCAAATCTCGGTGGATACTCTTGACCTACTATTATATCTATATCTATATCTATATCTATATCTATATCTATATCTATATCTATATCTATATCTATATCTATATCTATATCTATATATATATATATATACACACATACACACACACATACATATGCATACACACACACACACACACACACACACACACCAATTTTCTCAAAATCAGTTTCTTTCTCCCCTAGTCAAAAACTAAACCAAATTTCACATTTCATTCAAAATATTTAGAAATTTTACAGCTATAGTCCTAATGGGTATACATTACCTCCAATTTTAGAGAAGATGTGCATCTCAGATTGGCCATTGAAAACATATTATTTGTCTGACCTGGCCTTTGGTCTTATGTTTCATTCAAAGAGATCAGAGAGGAGGAAGAGAGGTAAAGGCATACAGCCATTCAGGATAGTCTGACATTCTTCTTTCACAATGCACTCATAAAATAACATTGGCCAATATCCCGAGAAAGCTAAAATGCTAGAAGAATGAAGACAGTTCACAGCAGTACAACTGACTTTGTTCTAGATATTTGATAATCATAGATTTCAAAGCCCTTTCATCTTCACTGTAGACTTTGAAATCCGTTAATATACTAATTTGCTAAGCAATTTCCTTCCTCAAATTGTCAGTTTTGAGAACTAGGGCATCACAGGGAAGGAGTTTATTCCTTCACTGTTACTTTGACTAATATGGCTCATCACAACACACTGAGATGCTTTTCCATGTTACCATTCCACAAATTTGGTGTCAGAAACCACAGTGAGTTTAATGTATATTTGCAAAAATAATTTGTTGCAAATGCATATTAAGGATTTTAGTGAGTATGGGATATATGTTGTCATTATTATAGTAAATCCTACACATAATTGAGAAGGAAAATCATTGCAAAAGAGCTAGAAAGCAGCAGTTAAATTTCGTACCACAATTTTCATATTTATTGTCCAGAAAGTGATACATTTGTTCATTTTGATTCTTGATAAAATTGAAACAAATATTATCTTTTTGGCAATGGATATTGTCACCTTTCAGTACTTCTGCTGGAATCTGCTTGTTATTTATCTATTGTTTTATGGAGAATTATATGGTATGTGGTTTTGTTTTGTTTTGCATTCCTTTATCTCCTGTTCTCTGATAATATGACATCATGGACTTCATTGCACAAAGCTGCTATTCCACAGAAGTCATGCTATTACATTATGTAACAAAATTAGAAAACAATCTGTTTCTGGTTTGAAAGTGTTATTTCCTGTTTGACTGTGTGGTGCTTACTTTGAAAGTAGTTGTTATACTCCATAAACTTTGTTTTTGTGGCTGCCCCAAACTATGTTGAATTGGTTGAGACTTGATGAGATATTTATTGAAAAACTATAGCAAAACGTGTTGTAAGATGTCCCACAAAAGCAATTTTTTGCTAGGCTTAATAAACTTTGTCCATTTTTTAATGATAGAACCAATTAGGAAATGGCATTTATAACTCAGGAACAAAAATTAGGTTCCATAGTGTTATAGAACCTCTTCACACAGGCAAAATAGCCCCATTTTGCAGCTTTTATTCACAGCTTGGATGGGGCTTGCCATGCACTTCCTCCTCCACTATAGGGAGGAAAGTGTGTTTTGGGTAGTATTCCTCCTTTTTTCCTCTTACGATGGGAACAAGGACAGGGTGCCAACGCACCTTAGAATCATAGAATCAAAGAGTTGGAAGAGACCTCATGGGCCATCCAGTCCAACCCCCTGCCAAAAAACAGGAATATTGCATTCAAATCACCCCTGACAGATGGCCATCCAGCCTCTGTTTAAAAGCTTCCAAAGAAGGAGCCTCCACCACACTCCGGGGCAGAGAGTTCCACTGCTGAACGGCTCTCACAGTCAGGAAGTTCTTCCTAATGTTCAGATGGAATCTCCTTTCTTATAGTTTGAAGCCATTGTTCCGAGTCCTAGTCTCCAGGGAAGCAGAAAACAAGCTTGCTCCCTCCTCCCTGTGACTTCTTCTCATGTATTTATACATGGCTATCATGTCTCCTCTCAACCTTCTCTTCTGCAGGCTAAACATGCCCAGCTCTTTAAGCCGTTCCTCATAAGGCTTGTTCTCCAGATCTTTGATCATTTTAATCGCCCTCCTCTGGACACATTCCAGACTTTTGATCATTTCTCTCTTAAACTGTGGTGCCTAGAATTGGACACAGTATTCTAGGTGAGGTCTGACCAAAGCAGAAGAGGGGAGCACCATGACTTCCCTTGATCTAGACACTATGCTCCTATTGATGCAGGCCAAAATCCCATTGGCTTTTTTTGCCGCCACATCACATTGTTGGCTCATGTTTAACTTGTTGTCCATGAGGACTCCAAGATCTTTTTCACACGTACTGCTCTCGAGCCAGGCATTCCCCATTCTGTATCTTTGCATTTCGTTTTTCCTGCCAAAGTGGAGTATCTTGCATTTGTCACTGTTGAACTTCATTTTGTTAGTTTTGGCCCATCTCTCTAATCTGTCAAGATCGTTTTGAATCCTGCTCCTGTCCTCTGGAGTATTGGCTATCCCTCCCAATTTGGTGTCGTCTGCTAAGACACAAAAGAGACATGCACAAGAAGTGGAAAAAGGGAGAAATCACCAAAAGAGGAATTCAAACTAATTGCCAACACCTGTAGGGAAAAGGTCCGCAAGGCTAAAGCACAAAACGGGCTCAGGCTTGCCAGGGACATTAAAAACAATAAAAAGGGATTCTTTTCTTATGTCAATAGAAAAAGGAAAAACAAGGAGGTGATAGGACCTCTTCAAGGAGAAGATGGGGCAATGCTGACAGGGGATAGGGAAAAGGCAGAACTACTTAATACCTTCTTTGCCTCGGTCTTCTCACAAAAAGAAAGTCATCTTCAACCTCAGCAAGGCGGAGTGGATGAGGATATGATCCTGTTCCCACCGTATGATGAGATAAGGAGGGAGGGAGCATGGGATGCCACAAGCCACCCTGCATGCCTTCTTTTTTGCTGGTGACTGCTGGTGAAATGACATGGCCTGAAAGGGCTGTGTGAAAAGGTCTACAGATTGTGATTACATACCAGGATGCGTTCCTTTGATATCTCACCATAGTACTTCTGTATGATCAGATAACCCACCTTCCTCCACTTCTATTGTTCTGTATTTTCTTATATTTTCACAGCAATATCATTGTTTAAGCAATGAAAAAAGAAGTACAGAGGAGGATAGACCCATTAGACAAGGTAAATGATAGGAACATTGCAGGACTGCAAGCTACTGACAATTTTTTCCCTGTCAATAGCAAGGTACAGATAAGTCATTGAGAGGAGACAGACTGAACAGCTTGTGTAGGAAAGTCCTATATGATTTCATCATTTCATCATTTCATCATTTAACAGCATAAATTAACCAACCATAATTCACCATAAGTAATTCCTCATTAGTAAAGGAAAAAATGAAGCCTGCAAAAACAAAGGGGGGGGGGAGTAAAAGGGGAGATACATTTCTCAGACACAGTTTTCTTCTGTTCCTGAAACATGTGTACCAAATTTTCAGCAAATCCAATCATTACCTTTGTCATGATACTTAATATTTAAAGAACACCTATTGATCTACATAGACCATGAATTGGTAACGTACAAAAATCTGGTCATATTAATTTGATAAATATATAGTAGCAGGTGCATATGTGAAAACTACTATACTACAATGCATGGGAGCATGAACAATGAAGTCCCACAACCATGAACTCTTTTAGTGATACTCTGTGTCTCAGTATTACATTGCCACACATTGATATGATAGTGTTTTAGAGAAATACTGGGAAATAATACACATAAAATGCCTTGAACATCAAATACTATTAAGTATTAAATGCGGCATAATGTGTTCCATCATTAGAACAACCAGATTCAGTGTTTTGCTAACACGGTGTTCTACGTTATTAGATTCATATATAAATAGTGAGTGATCGATATGAAAAACATATGAAAGAAATAATCTTAAAAGATGTGGAGGAAATAACTGAAAAGTGATTTGAAAAACTGATTGCTTCGCTACATCAAAATGAAACACCCTATCACATTGTAAATGTAAAACATACAAAGTAAGATAATGTGAACCACAAAAGTGTTGTACTTAGGGAATTAAAGAGGTGATCCTCGTATATTAAATCAACAGCCTCTTGGTGTAGGAAACCAGTGCAGTGAAAAGAATAATAATTTCAGTTTATTTCCCTTCCCCTAAATTCACTCATGATTTGAATGGGATGGATTTTCTTCTTAGCTGAACCTTTCCTGACAGCAGCATAGATTTCCTCCGGCTTCTCTCTCTTAATCAAAGGCTTCTTTTCTGGAACCTTCATCCGCCACATCACCACAGGGTGTCGTGGGCCAGCAGAACTTTGAATTCTGATAATCTTCGAAGAGGCAATATAGGACATCTTCACTGTCTGCACCACAGCATTCATCAAGTTTTTGCCAGCCTGAATTAGTGAAGTCACACTGTCCAGCTGTAATCAGAAACACTACTGTTAGTTTCAGAAATCAGGCTAGCTTTAATCAGAAGCAAGCATTTAAAATGTAGTTAATCTTTTTTCTCTGTGTGCATTAGATGTAAGAAAAGAAGCAATAAATGACTCAAAGTAAAGAATGGGGGTGAGACAACAGGAAGTGAGATAAATCTACCCCCTAGGAAGGGAAATTCACTGCTGGAAGAGTTATCATGGGGAAAGGGTGTCTCCACTGAGGCTTTATCACCAATCCTTAGTTCCACAGTAAGCGAAATCTTTCAAAATCCAATTATCACAGGAACAGAAAGTGAAGGGAAATCTTCTGAATAGGGGCAGAGAAAGCAAAAGAAACACCAATGGGGTGTTAACCCTTCACTATGCTATCCAAAGCTTGTTTGCTTATTTATTTATTTATTTATTTCATTTATATCCCTCCTTTCTCACCCTGCAGGGGACTCAAGGTGGTTTGCAAAATTCAGTGCTGCATATGAACATAACAATAAAAACATACCACATCCAACTACAAAACAGTTAAAACACATGAGCAAATAAAACACATAGATCAATAACACAGATTAAAACATATAAAGTTATTGATTCCATTAATACATAATCATTGTTCATAATCCTTGTCTAGACTGTGTCAAAATCTGTAATGTCTTATTCTCCCAATGCTTGCGGACAGAGCCAGGTCCTTAGCTTTTTTTTTTGAAGATCATAAGGGATGGAGCCTGCCTGATGTCACTGGGGAGGGAGTTCCACAGCCAAGGGGCTGCCATTGAGAAGGCCCTGTCTCTAGTCCCCACCAATCACACTTGTAAAGAGGGTGGGATCAAGAGCAGGGCCTCCACAGCAGATCTTAAAAAACTACTTGGCTCATAAGGGGAGATGCATTCAGACAGGTACGTTGGACCAGAACCGTTTATATAGCTGGAATTACACTTAAAATGTATCTGTTCCTACTTACAAAAAAAAATCAACTTAAGAACAAACCTACAGTACCTAGCTTGTTTGTAACTTGGGGACTGCCTGTGTGTGATATAGATGCATAGATGATGATATCGGATTTTGGACAGTTTGGACAGTGTTCTTCAGGAAGAACAGGGCCATCCAAAAATCTACACCAGGCTTATACATTAAACTTTTTACACTCAATTGCCTTTTCTCCATTACTTTCTACTGCCCCCAAAATGGGCCTTGTTGCCAGATTTCCAGTTCCACTTAAGGATATAGAAGCATCTGATTGAGCATTTTCTCCTTAACTGGAAATAAGGAGTACAAGGAAATGGGTAATGGCTACACTATTTTCTGATCTTGCTCAGCAGATGGAGTGGCATGGATCAGATTATTTAATAATAGTACCTGTTACCTGCTCTAGAGGGGAAGTAAATGCATATAAGCAATTCACTTCTTATGTCTAGGCTAAGTGCATGTGTCTCAAAGGCCCCATCTACACTGGTTGTTTAAGGCAGCTTCAAGCTATGTTGAAAACACAGCATATGCATGCCACAAAAATACAGTGTAGCACACTTTAAGCCCATTAATAAAAAAACAAGCAAAGTTGTGAGAAATTAAAAAATGAAGCCCTCAATGCATATCTGCATGCTGTAATATAAACCACATCACACCCCACTAATGAGCACATGAGCAGTTTGGAGGAGGAAGTTGAGGAAAAAATGAATTCTTCATGGCTGATAAGCCAACACTATTGTAGCTCTTGGAACTGGTTCAAACTCATCCCCAGTCTATGTGTTATCACAATAGAGGCCTCAAATTTGTTCTATGGTTAAGAATTTAACCAGACGCACAGCAAAACAGCTTTCTTCTATACTGGTTTCAAACTGACCTAAGTGGTCGAGCTTGTCAATTCAAGAGAGATATTGACAAGTTCGAATGTGTCCAGAGGAGGGCAACTAAAATGATCAAGGGTCTGGAGAACAAGCTTTATGAGGAGCGGCTTAAGGAGCTGGGCATGTTTAGCCTGAAGAAGAGAAGGCTGAGAGGAGATATGATAGCCATGTATAAGTAAGAGGAAGCCACAGGGAGGAGGGAGCAAGCTTGTTTTCTGCTTCCCTGGAGACTAGGACGCGGAACAATGGCTTCAAACTACAAGAGAGGAGATTCCATCTGAACATGAGGAAGAACTTCCTGACTGTGAGAGCCGTTTCAGCAGTGGAACTCTCTGCCCCGGAGTGTGGTGGAGGCTCCTCCTTTGGAAGCTTTTAAACAGGGGCTGGATCGCCATCCGTCAGGGGTGATTTGAGTGCAACGTTCCTGCTTCTTGGCAGGGGGTTGGACTGGATGGCCCATGAGGTCTCTTCCAACTCTTTGATTCTATGATTCTATGATTCTATATGTAGTAGTAGTAAATTGGATTGTGGCTCTTGATCTGAGCCCTTTGCATAAAGATATGGGCATATGTGCACTTCTTGTTATTGTCTAAATCAGAGATGATCATGTGGTTCTCCAGATACTGTCAGACGGAACATCCAAAAACATTCTCTATCATGGACCATGCTTGTTAAGACCTGTGAGAATTGAAATTCAAAAATATATGGAGCACAGTGTGATTTCCATCATGGGTATGAAATTTGTATCCTCACCAAATGTAACTAGACTTCCTTTCATTAGTTAAGAGTATCTAGTTTCTAACTCTGTTGAACAGGATGGTTAATTGGGATGGACATTCTCATTTTTATTATTACATTTTGTTTAAATACCTGAGTAGGAGAAGCTGAAGAAATTCTAGATATATTCATAGTAAACAATGTGATAAAGTAGTGAGCATTCCTTAAAGCAGATGATTTCCAATGTGGACTCCATTGCATTTGAAATGCATCATATCTCATCTTGTGTATGGGTCTCCTGGTGAATGTTAAAATTCTTTAGCACTCCTTTCCCTGTGCTATGGATCTCTCCTTCCGTTTAAGTTGCCTATGCTGTTGTCATTTCACACTGAAAAATTGGCAAGGGATAAATTTACTGTAATTCATATCAGTGACCTGAATGAATAACTCCAATGCTTCAAAGAATCACTGTGTTCATATTTAATTATAAGGCTGACAGTTTCAATTTAGAAATGTATCTCCATTTGAATACTTTTATTAAAAAATACTGTGTTCTGGTTTTTCCTTCATGTGCAAAAAGACTTTCCTCCCTTAAAAATTTAGATATAAGTGCAGGTTTCTAACACAGTATGCTGATTTTTGACACAATTTTTTCACAAATCACCGAGTTAAAGATGAGAAGTAATGATGTTGCATTTGGAGGCTGGGATATTGTTGTTGACATATGCTGGTGTAACCTTGAACAATGAGTAATGTAACCTTACACAATGACTTTCCCTGCACCCAACCTTAACTTGATAATGCTGAAGTACAACCCCATGAAAAATTAGTGGCTTCAGGGGGATGTTCCCAGATCATGTAAGCTGCACATCCAAGGAATAGGCATTACCAATTTTTCTGGAAGTCTAAAACCGTAGCAGTGTTCATTTTCCCCAGCTGACTGGCCATCGAGCCATGCAACCATGTTGTATGAGAACCCCAGCAGAACTATGCTGACAAAGATTAATGCTTTACCAGAAATGTTGTTGGATCTTGTCCATGATCCATAAATTTTCATTTTCAGAAATCTGGGCTGGAGGGTTTTTTTTCTTATTTGAGACATGATACAGCATATACTCTTTGGTGGAAAATCTACCTCTTCACCAGCTACTGAACCTAAGCTCAGAGAGAATAGAAATATCTGAGTAGGGTGACAAGTGATACTATCAATCTTAATACTCCTGTTCCTGGTCCCACTACCTCCACCTTGTACCCTCCAGCTGTCCTGATTTGGCAGGGACAGTTCAGAAATGTCCCAGTTTCCATCTCCTTTCCTTACTTACACCTTTTGACTTTGCATTGTCATCAGTATTGTGCAGTCAAAAACTTCAGTTATTGGAAGCTGAGTTCAAAGTGCAAAAGCTACATGTATTCAGTTCATCCAACATGGGGCCAGAGAGGAGAGATTATAGGGAGGGGATTTTGCTCTTCCCATTGGACTCAGCCCAAAGCAATCTGCTTCAGCCTCTTCTAGCTGGTGTGTTCTCCGCTCATAACTTTCTCATCTTGACCTTACTATGATGTTTCTTTCTTTTCATCTGTGAAATGTTGGTAAAACAATGCTACTATTTTTGTTTGAGTGATAACCCCATAGAAAACATTATCTATTGGAGGATCCAGAAATGAAAATGTAAAGCTGAACAATCATTTCTTTTTCCAGACTGCTGATATGAATGTGAATTGTAGTGATTTCTGGTGCAGTCAAGGGTTTTGCACACTTTACAGCTTAGCCCTCAGCTTCTTGTCCTACTACATCCTAAGTAATGTTTGATCAAGAATATAATAGTCTAAGCAAAAATGTTCACTTAGATTCGCCCCCACGCAACCTTTCCCAGCTATTCTCTATAACTTCTTCAAGGTCTCATAACATAATAACCAGAGGATCTGATGAAATGAAAACCCACAGACACACGTAATTGACAAAGTATTTTTTTTTCACATAGCCTCAAAGTTAATCTTTCAGAGATACTCCTGGAATGACATTTTACCAGCAGCATCCAATTTCTGAGAAGAAACTGTGTCCTGAATCAGTCAGGAAGAGAATGTGTGTATAACCCACTATTTTCCCCACAGTCAGAGAAATTTTCAACACCTGCTCTTTTTGTTGAACCAGAAGGTAAAGTGAATTATTTATTTACATTTATCATCTCTAATTAATATAAGTTTCCTTCATTTTCAAATATGAGAACCCAAGCAAGTGATTAAAAAAAGAAGCCATTTTTAAAGAGATGTGTGACTTCTCTCTTCTAATGCAGAAACCTTTTTTTACAGACTACAAAAGGACAGGCCCCTTTCCCAAGGAATTTGCCATCTAAAATTTGATATTGGGGAAACAAATAGTGGGAGGGAAGGGGAGCTGTGAATAGACAGTGCTGTCATTTCAGTTCACATGCT